TAATCACATATAATTATAATTGTAATAATCAATTATTATTTACATAATAAAAAAAACCATTAATATTTACTTTCTCGCCCATTCATTCACAACTGTTTGTCCGTATATTTTCCCATCGCTAATTTTGTTTGGAGCTTCTCTGGTGGCTTTTTGCCAATTCTCGACCAACTTCAAATAAAGATCATGTTTGATCTCGTTGTGTGATCTATTATCCCATTCAGGTAATCGATGAGCAATCTCAGTTACTAGGTGAAGAAATGAGAATGTTATTGTAGGAAATTCCTCGGAAGAAGTGAAATGATCAGCATAATCAATAATTGCGGCCTATTTTTTTATTATATGTACATGTATATAGATAGATGTAAGTTAAATGTTACAAGTATTTATATTCATATAAATAAATATATTAATCATGTTGCTATATGATACGCCCGTGAATATTATAATCTTCTTTATCATAATCAATATTCAACAATACAATTCTCACCTTTAAATCCAAAATAGCAGGTTTAACTCTATTGAAACTATAATCGTCTTTAAGATGACCCCATTTAGAGTAAGGAAAACTATCGTGATATCTTTTTTCCAATCCTGCCAAAACGGTTGATACTGAATGAATTGTTGGTCTAGGAACATTTGAAGAAATTTCTGATTGAAGATTAGGGTGTGAATCAATAAGATTGTTTATTAACGACAACAGTTGAGATTTGTCAAGGGTAGCTATTGAATGAATGAATGAATGAACGAACGAAAGAGTGAGTAAATTAACGGAGGGATCGAAGGATGGGAGGGAAATAAAGATGGAGATTTTAAAAATAAAAAATGATGGATTTAATTCACAATATTTACCTAAAAGTTTACTTAAAGGAAAGTTTTTATCGTTACCAAGCTTTGTTCTTTTGTGGATGGTGTTGTTATTGCTGCTACCATTGCCACCATTATCTCTTTCCATTTCATTTCTAGAATAAGGTGGGCTTCTTGGTTCACCCATTGAATCGTCAGAATCTTCACCAGATTTTCTTTTACCAGTAACTACGAGTTTAGAAAAATGAGTATAATTTAAGAACGTTAGTTAACTGGATCTATGGCTTTACATAAATGAATATATATATATACACCTTTTGATAAATGATGGTGCTGTTGCTGCTGATGTAAAGCGGTAAATCTTTGAAAAGAAGGATGAGATTGATTGTTGTTATGATCTTCTAAAGATCTTATGTTACGAATGGTACCATTAGGATGGTGGAAAGTAGATTGGTGAAAATTGTTTCTATGTAATGGAAAGCAAGGTGAATTGTCACTCATTTTTCTTTTGATAAAATTGATATTTAGAAATAAATTTAAATAAAATTTTGTTGGATATATTTAAATTATTTTTTTTTTTTAAGGAAAATTATTATTAAATAATAAAAAAAAAATAATAAAATAAGAAAAAGGGGTTGAAAGAAAATTTTTTCAAAAACAAAAAAAAATTTTATATATGAGGTGAGGTCTCTATTTATATTTCTATTGAAAATAACGGCCGAAATATAGTTATGTTACTAGTT